CCCCAAAACCCCAAAACCCCAAAACCCCAAAACCCCAAAACCCCAAAACCCCAAAACCCCAAAACCCCATATGGGTCTGAATGGCTTGAAAATTACGATTTCTTCAGTCATGTGCAAGGATTAGAGGTCATATTTATTTGTGAGGAGGTGGCTTAGTTTTTCATAGAACATGAAAACTATAATATTTTGAGGGAGGATTTTGAGTAAGTTCAGAGAAAATCCTGTATAGAAACCCAGAATCCCATGGGACATGTAAGACCTCTTCACTACCTTGAAGAAGTGGTTCCCTCTCTGATCGTGGTTTCTAGTATCATGTTGACGAGCACGCACCAATTCTGAGGGATAGCTTACCATTGATGCAGTTATTTTGCTAATAATAACACTTAGAGATACAAGGTAGGAGCTTAATGAACTTGAATCTGGCTCGATGTTATTCTTAAGGACTATCTTAGTCCTCTCATAGATTGTGAAGTACACCAAAACATGAGAAAGGTTCAGAAAGGAGGCCATGAGCCCACTATAAAGTGTCAAGAATCCTTCATTCATCCAGACTCGACGAATGGAACGGTAAAGGCCTTTATATTTTATCTCATAATCAGGAATTCCTTGAGCTTTGAATTCTTCAGTGATCATTCTTGTTCTGACTACCCACATTGGATTGGTCAAAATTGATGATATTAGTCCAGCAATTGATCAGGAAGAAGCAACCACGCTGAAAGAGCTCTTATCCTGCCCATAACTTTCTGCAAATGTAAGTCGTAATTTCTCATAGATAGGGAAATAAATAGAGTTGAATATAGGAGTTCATATAAGTGTGGCTCTGTAGCCTTTGAACATACCAGCGAAGCCTTCTTGCCTCCAGATTTTCAGGAAAGACTCCCTGATTTTCTGGTACATTTCTACTTTGAACTGCTTATCGTTCTGAACTTGCATTCTGGTCTTGAGAACCTCTATGGGGGACGTCAGAGTGACTCCAACCATTGTTGATAAAGAAGATGCCAGCAGCCTAGCTTTTGAAGAAGGCTCTCTAGGCCCTTCCCTTTGCTTGACAATTGCAGCTGATTGAGGATTTTTGGAGAATAATGATAAATTTGGCTGATAAGGAGTTCCTAGTTTATTCAAATTTGCCTGTGTCTCTTTCATAGTATGAGAATGGATGGTTTTAATATTATATTATCAACACAGGTTAGGCTTATTGGGGTTTTGGGGTTTTGGGGTTTTGGGGTTTTGGGGTTTTGGGGTTTTGGGG